ATAAGTGTAGGGATGATGGAAACCATGCTGATCAGATGCTAGCTGAACATCAGGTGTGTAATTACAGTGCCCGACATTAAGCAAGTTCCTTGGGGTTCCACAGGCAACATCCCATGTCTATGCACTGCCGATAACAGGGCAGATCCAAAGTCAAGTTTTTTAACCGTTGCATGATCTGGTCTCCAAATGCTCGCCCTAGTGGCAATAAACTTTCAGTACGGCACACTGCAGGTGGTTATGCGAGACAATCCCTCAGGTAGCCGTCTGTTCCTTCTCTTGCACGGGTGGACAGGTTCCTGTTCCTTCTCTTGCACTGGTGGACAGGGTCCAATTGCGGGTGCAGCCGGGGAATGTCCGGCGTTACATATGGGACACATCAGGATCGCTCCATGTGGTAGACACATACTGTTAACATGACAGCTTCTCGAACACATTGGCAACGAAAGGCAGGAAGCCACACTCATGATTGCAATGATTCTAGCATGGCATGCACGGTCACAACGGCATATCAGGCAACCGATAAGGGGGTAGGGGGGACGAGCCGCGAGCGCAAGCTAGACGCGGGTTGCAGTTTTCATGGCAGCCTTCCATAGCGAAGTGAGCAGAGGTTTTGTCATGAACACGCTAACCGGTCTGCACCTGGATTCAAACACAATGGCATAGCGCAGCCGATGTCCTCTGAATGGCCTCCCTCACCATCAGTGACAAAATCCATCAGATCTGCACGGGCACAAGACGGAGCCAGGCCAGATAGATGGGACGGGAGGTTCAGGCCGATTGTCCTCCTGAAGCTGCAGAGGTTGTGGTCTCACGTCCGCAAATGGCCATCAGATCTGCACAGGCTCAAGACGGATCCTCGCCAGGTAGATGATACGGGGGAGGGTCGGCCAGATTGTCCTCCGGAAAAGCGGCAGAGGTTATGGTCTCACGTCTGCAATTGCTTCCTGATTAACAAGCCAGACAGGAAGATAACAGCACTGCGCCCACCCAGGCAGTGTAGGATGCATGCACAAATCGTCATGTCCATGTCATGCAGAAATTTGTCACGGCAGTCTGTAGTTGCTGTCGTATTCCCTTAAATGTCATAGACACTAGTAGACAGCACTTACATCTCCATGTGATCAACTTCTTTACAGCGAACAGTGTCTGCAAACTCACAAACAGAACAGGTGTCGCATGGTACCCGAAAGGACACCACGAACGGCAAAGTACGCACAGCAGCCTCGCTGTAGCATCTGCGCATGAGTGTACGTGTGGGCGTACACCTGAGCATCCGTTGTAAGCGAGGACGCCCATGAATGGCATAGTACACAAAGTGGCCTATCTGTAGCACGTGCGCGTGTGAGTGCATGGCTGGGTGTTACGTGCGTGCATGGGAGCATATTTGTGTCCGTCAATGCCTGCACGAGTGTGTGTGTGGGTGTGCGTGTGTGTGCAATCTGTGTGCGTACATGTGTTTGCATGTTTGTGTCCCTTGTCGGTTGCCATCTTCCCTATGCACAACTACATGAAGAAAAGCATCTGACTACGCCAGACTGTTTCGTCTGACTTTCACGAACTCATCAGGAGGTTGAACCTGGACAGACAGTCTGCCCAGGATGCATTTGACTGATGGATAAGAATTTACCACGCCGCCCAGAGTTATCCATACCCCTGAGAAAAGGGTCCATGTGTTTTCTAGAAACCCCCGAATTCCCTCTCCCATTCCATCCACAAATCATCATAAACATTCCATGGAATGAAAAAAAGTATTTGCGGGCAATACAAGACAAGAGAAGCCTGAGAAGGTGCAAGGTTCCCCACACTTGTGTGGTTGAGCAGGAAGGGCCCACCAGCAAGAAAGTTCGGACCAGACCCAGCAATGGTCTGAAAAAACTTGGAGAGCCCTGCAAGTGGGCCCACAAGCACAACAGCACTGGCACTGCCACTGGCACTGCCATTCCTCCCAAACGACCACCATCACTATCACTCCATGGCTAGACATCCCTCATCTACTATCTAGCCTCTGGAGTGTAGAGAGTACAAATATCCCAAAGTCCACAAGGTCTTCACGTGACAACAGGAGCACTACTGCGTAAAACATCCTGAAGGTCCCCGCTTCTTCCACGTGCTCCAAAAAAGCAGCCCATGGGAATGGCACCCACAGCAAACACTCTCTGAGTCTCATCGCGATGATACTACGGCCAGAACTCCATTGTGTGTGTACGTGCCTTTGTGCAAGTATACCTACATTTGTGTATGCCTGCCTGCCTGCATGTGTGCATGCATGGACACAGAGTTGCTGCCAACAATACAGACAGCATGGAGTTTTCCATGTACGCATTGCCTCACCAATCTGGGACAGCAGCCTCTTGGGAAGCACGTGTGTTCTCCACAACACAGCGGCAAAATCTGAGTTGCTGCTGGAAGCGCAGCTTCCTCAATTCTAGTTGCAGGTTACCTGGCAGCGATCAACGAGTGACGGGCTTCAGAGCAGGGATGCACAAAAGGTTGAGTCTCCATCTGCTCAGAAAATCGACAGTCGGGAGCAAATGCGAAAGCGACCAGTGGGAGACATCAGTGGGCAGGCAACACAGCTGTCAGCAAACACAGGCTGTCCATTCTCCAGTCAAAGTGCTGGGGAGAATGGCCCTTAGAAAGCACATGCCTTGACAGAGATGTCAGCTGCTGTCCTGTGAGCATGCAATCATGGTACTTACTCTATGCAGGCATTCAGGGACACACTAAGATGTCCATGACTCAGGCTTATGAAATAAATAGCCCAGGAAAATACTTCATCGCTGACCTGAGACTTTTAGGCCCAGGAAAACACTTCAGCTGGTGCAAAACCAAATCAATCCAACCTCCCACCGTGTTAGGAAGAGTGCGAGAGTGGCCAAGGTAGAGAGGTCGAGTCCCAGTCGCACCCAGGCACAATTGCACATTCTAAAAAGGGGTCGGGTTGAGGGGGGGGAGCATGCAAGCAACCTGCACGCGACAACAGAAATTCACAAGTCAGCATAACTCAGCGAAAAGCGCTGCAGAACAAAGGTTTGACTGTCATCTCTGCTGCACGGAAGACTTACATCGCACAGGGAGCTCGACTCGACATGGTACTCCTCCAAAAAGTGTCCAAGAAACTTAGCCTAGCCTACAGCAATCTAACCCCCAATAAAAGCTTCCCCCCTTGCACCCGTCCGAAGCACTGCACAAAAGTCAGGCCTCACGTCCAAGAACGCCACTAGAATTCTAGTGGCATTCTCCGCATGCTCCAAAACAGGAGCCCGAGAAACACACCCACACACAACACTCTTGGTCCAGCGCAAAGAACCTCTAACAAGACCACCAACTGAAAATATAACAGGTCTGGATTGCACCGCCGTAGGACTCAACTTGTGATCTGACTAGGACAACGACGTCCACAAATGATGTCCTCAACGCACAACCAACTGATCTCTCAGCGCGACGACAGGCACCTCCCGAGGCCTTGCACCCAACCTCTACTACCATCTGGACTTTACAGGCTCGGGGTGTTTGGGGGGGGGGGGGGGGGGGGGGGGGGGGGGGGGGGGGGAAGGGGAGGGAGACCATTGAGGTCAATCCCAAGAACCACCAACCGTCGTCGTGTTCACTATACACAAGTCAACTTTCACCGAATAACGAGGATGTTGAACCACCGTATGTTCAACATACACAACTCTAGCACGACTGTGCAAGACTGTTTCGCCGAACTTCCACCCACCGACTCATCCCAAGAAGCACCATGTGCTCGTGTGTGTGCCGTCAAATGATTATCCAGCAACCATCTCCATATCCCATTCTGCACTTGGCATCAATGCTCATCCAGCAACATCTCCATATTCCATTCATTCCATTCCGAAAAAAAAAACAATGGCATAAGACATTACTAAGGGCAAGGCAGACCTCCATGTCTGTGTGGTTGACCAGGGAGTGCTGACGTTTGGTGTGTGCACAAGAAACACGATAGAGAAATTACTTCCTTGCACAAAGGGTCACATGCCGTGCTGAGGCTGAAATGCACTAAGTCTCTGTGAGCCCTGCGGGCCTCGTTGGACACCACTTGAAAATACATGGCTTTGTAATTCACGAGAAATTGAGAACAATAATTAATTGACACTAAGTTAACTCCATTTATGGTTCCACGTGCACTTGAGGAAACCCTTCAACAAGCTGTACTTGAAACCGAAACCCTCGGCTTGACCAATCCTGGACCAGAATGCCTGCTGGAAGAAAAGAAAAACAAAAAAAAGCCCCAGTCGTGCAATATCCGTTTGCGCTTGAACTCAAGGTACCTCCTTCAAGTGCTATTGTGCCCCAGCCGCACTCGAGAGCAGGAAAGTGAAAAGCGTCACTTCAAGGATGTGCGCACTTGAGAGCAGGAAAGTGAAAGGCGTCATTAGGGAGGGGTGGAACGAATAATTTATTTTCCTTCAACCCTCGAGTTCAAGTGGTGTCGAACTCGAACGAGGACCTATGTCATATTCCAAGAGTCAGACATCAGAACAATTTCTCAAATGAAAAGGGCAAGCATGCCCTCATTCCACGCTAGCAAAACGGGAAAAAACTACACAGCCATACCCCATGAACAGGCATATAGCACCCATGTCTCTCCTTGATCAGTAGTGCAAGAAGCACCCTGGCCCGCCACATCACCATGTGGTCCAGAATCTAGCCGTCTTGACGACCAAGTGACCACAGACCCAAGTAACAAGTCCGGGACTAAGGAACTAAACAAACCTATACAAACAAGGCCCGATCACAGAGTGTGCACTCGTGTCAGTGATGAACTTGTTGCTCCAAAGGACTGCACTGCTGGTCCACATAACGGCATGCAGCCCGGACCATAAGGATCTGTATTAAATTACTATTAAATTATTATTAACTATGGCTTTTTGGGAAGAAGAGGAAGTCCACGCACCTGAATTTGCACGGGTCATATGACAAGCGACACGGAATTACACAACTGTTGTGAGTCCATGCTAAGAGGGCAAAACTATTCAGTGGTGAATGCTGATTTATTGTTTTTTCCATCGCGGGAATGGAGAATCCGGTTGGGGTCAACCACTGCATCTTCATGAATCCATGATAAACTGTTGCTCGTTCCTGAAACAAACCAGGAGACTGCAACAGCATATATGACACCGCATGATGTCTGGCCGCAAAGAACTGACAAACACCAAGAAACCGCGGTGCAGATAAAGAACAAAAATTGCATATATTCCCAAGCCCATCTGGAAAAGATATACAAACTGTAACTCTTAATAAACAGGTCACGAGTACGAGTCCTCATGGAATGAGATGGATACAATTAGGTCAGACGCTACGCCCTTATGCAAGACAAGGAGAAAAAAGAAGAATCCAACAGATTTGCGCCTAGGGTCCGCCAAAATCACTCTTAAAAAAGATTCTGCAGGCTGAATCCATTAGGAAAGGTCATAATTGTAGAGTTCGACTACAAAAAAGAGTTTGCAACACGACAGAACAATCGTGCACACGCACAAACCCACGTGCACACACACACGCGCACACACACACACACACGGGAACGGGAACCCGGGAGCTGGAGTTAAAGCGCGCACTGAAGACCACAAACGAGTGCAGTGTCCAAGTCTGATACCTGAAAAACCTCTGTTCAATCTTCTTCACCTCTTCATACTGCATGATGCTATGCAATCAATCTCGAGCAATACCTGAATACAAGCTCAATAGGAACCCCTCAATATTGAAAATCCATCCACAACTATCCTCCCCCTACAATACAAGTCCGTTAATCGTCAGTCACCCTTGGACTCGAAGGGCACGCTGCTATGCAATCAATTTTAAGCTATACTTGAATAGAACCTCTATAGGACCCCTGCACTTAAGAAACTCCATCCACAACTACAAGTAAACCAGAAGTCGGTTCAACCCTCAGGACAGACCTTCCCGAAATGCATTGTAAAAGCCAAAAAAGGATGTACAACCTGCAAGTCGGTTCAACCCTCAGGACAGACCTTCCCGAAATGCATTGTAAAAGCCAAAAAAGGATGTACAACCTGCATGCATGCTTGCGCTATCACAGGATGCTAAACACCAACAACATCGAAGCTCACAAATGCCGGCCTGTTGTAAGGTTGGTGCAACTTCCCTGCCTTTGTCGTGGAGTGTGAAATACCTGTAGAGATCTCTCGGCAAAATCACACTTCCATTCTCCCACATCACAAATCTCCGTCCCATGCATGGACCAGAAAAGTGATGGATTCCACTGATGGTTCACGGCAGCCTCAACAAATATGTTAGATTCGACCCTGAAAAAGGAGAGCTGCACTGCGGCAGGCTAGACATTTCAGATGGGTTTCGACAGTCCGACAACATAAATTCAAAGCCCGGAGCCCACCTAACGCTATGAGTCTCTCAGGCCACACCCGAATCACCACTGCAAAGAGCACATACTTCTGTCCCAATGTTCCCCCTGGTGGTTTAAGTACACGCTCATGCGCATGTGCATGAGCGTGTACTTGTTTGATGTCATATTGCCACCATTTCATGAAAACCATTTCCCTTCTATATCTGAGAGACATTTGCAAGTGAATCAACCTTCGAGCCAATGAAGAATAGATAAGCCAACATACAGCAACACAAATTAGCACGACGAAAGGAGAACAGTGTGCATGTTGTAATTGAAGGGCAAAAGTCAACACGCTACTTGTGGAAGGTCACAAATGCTGGCTGGCCCCTTGTCAGACGTGAGGTTCCCACAGCCCTCCCCCCCCCCCCCCCCCCCCCCCCCCCCCCCCCCTCCYCTYCCCGCCCCCMCMCACACACACATTTTGCTTCAGACGAAACAGCAAGCATCAGAGTGCTTACCCCAGCCATTGATCGCCTTGCCAATTATTCGTGGAGCGATGCTGAAAGGATTTGGGTGTGCTAAAAAGAAGAGAGTGGCATACCTGCTAATGAGACCGTGCTGACATGCGACAGACAGGTCTGCCAACACTGAATGCCATACGTGACACAGGATGATGCAATCATAGAGAAAAGCTTGAAGCAGAGCAAGATGATACAAGATGAAGCTGGCAGATGAGCTTTCAGACAAACTCACAAGACGCTTTTGCTTCAACGTAACAAGGGCACAACACTTGATAATCTCGAGGCCTGCACAGTCATTTGCGCCGAACATGCTATTCCATGCAATGCTGCTATGCTCATCGCCTTAACCATGAAACCAGGTCATTCGATTCCAACAAATGTTGCTTGACCCATGATCTGGGGACACCGATAAAACCAAAGAGGATTTGAAAGGAAGAACGGCCGAACACATTTGGAGCCTATGTTGCAAGACGGGTAATGATTGTGTACAGGAACTAACGGCAATCCACTCAGCACAAAATCCGAGGATGGGAGCGACGTAAAAAATTGGCAATGGCTCCTGTGCGTCTACACACGTCTTTCTCCACAGCGCCCGTCCCATGTCACGTTGGCCGTACGGAATTTCTATTCTGAGAATTGTCGAACGAAGCAGGGGCGTTGGTTTGTTGCTCCCTTTCCCTGTTCCATTGTTCAATCTTCGCCCTCCGTTCTACACTACCCTCCCGTCCTGCACTCCTTTCCCGTCCACCCCTTTGCCTCGTATCCGGCGAGCAACTTCGGCTGTGCTCTCGTCGTCTCCACCTACGATCATCTCCGAACCTGTTATTGTGGTTGAAAAAGCGCCCTCTTCCCCGCCCTCGCCCACCACCACCGCCACCTCGCTCCCTGTAACCTCGGCGCTCATCGGGGTACGGTTTGTCATAGTACCTGCACAACAAATGCCGCCGAGACACTGTTTATCAGAACACACACTCAGATGCGCGCGCTCTGCCGTCAAGCCTTCATGCGATTCCCCGCTACAGGACCTTCCCGCCTCATGCATTTGTAATGCACTCACTGGGCAACTGCCTCCAAGTCCTGCTCCAACCAGTTACGTCCCACGGCCATGAGCCTTGCTTACCAACTGGCAGCAAAAGTGTGTCTGACCAGGCAGGCAGTAATCTGTCTCCATCCACCTTTTGGAACATGCATATGCCACTGTTCTCTACAGTGGATGCTCGGTTCCCCGGACAAACTGCTAGAGAGAGAGAGTGATCCAGCAAATACACAGATTAAAAAAGAAAACATGAAGGCTACACTTTTATTCGCCCCGCACAGGCACAGCTCATAACAGACAGATGCAGTTGCATTACAAGAAGCATCAATCCATGGACACATATGAGGATCAGACGGCGGGAGGAGGAATGAGGAACTTAGGTTCCAGGAGCAAGCTTGATGTGGCAAAAGATTGCACACACTGGCATCCCACCGTCACAATAACAATGTTTGGTTGGCTGGCCTGGGCAGGCCAAAGCAGGTACGTACCTGCGGCGAGGACTGCTGCCCCTATCCTGTCCACCCCTCGCGTAAGGGCTGCCGCTTCGGCTTCGGCTACGGCTACGTGGCCTTTTGAACCGTCCAAACAGCCGCCTCCTCATGTCCCTGACACAGGTTTCAACACAGCAATAAACGTTGTTGTCGTCATGACATAAACATACAAGCGCGCCCCGCACCTCATAAACAATGACACAGATGAACTTTTCTTCAAAATCCCTTCTGCAAATGAAGCAGGGAATCCGTCGTATACCACTTCCGCTTCGTTGCTTCCAACCAGTCAATAAACACCACTTTTCCATAGGCAGTAAAAACAACAGTGACACGGGGTACCAGTCCTACAACAGATGGGAGAGGGTGCACCGGGCACCAGCACAGGGGGATAGCAGCCCCAACACATCTATTCTGATTTGCATGCGCCAAAGCAACGCACAGACTTTAAGAGCATATAAATGACAGACCTGCACACCGGGCAAATCATGTACGTCACAACTTCGGTGACCATCAGGGACTGTGGGACAGCAATGTTGTATTCCCCTTTCCGAAGAGTGACGAGAAAGGAAGAGGCCAACTGGTTGATCATGGCAAGAAGGGAGCGGCCAACCGGCTGTTCTGACTTCTTAGCCCTATTTTGATCATATCGGACCATACTGAGTTCATCTCAATCATGTATGGAAACTTCACTCAGCCCATAGAGAAAAAGCTGGGATTGCCCTCCCTTTGCTGGAGTAATTCAAACTTGGGGTCTCCAAGAAAGTTTAATTCAGAGCTGTGTAGAAGCCGTAGTCATGGTGACTACCAGGTGCAAGCACTTGCCATTGTAGCTATTCATAATGTGAGGTTATGCAGGCAGACAACTTAGTTAAGTCCATCTCCAAAATCCTTTCTGCATGCAGACAGACATTGCTGGCTCCTTGACTGTGCCCACCGATTGCCTTCACCATGCGGCTCAACATAAGCAGAGGCCATTGGACCGCCTGGGAGACTAAGACTGCACATAACAGTCCTCCAAGGGATACACAGACTGAAACTTCTTCCGCGTGCTCAACCATGCACTCATGTTAAGGTTTCAGTCTTAGGAAGAGAGGACACGTTGCAGGATTAGGAACGCACAGGTAACGCCAGTGCGGCTGCGCCCGCACACATGCAAAAAATCAATGAGATAGCTGTGGTCTCACTGTATGATAATCTCTCTCTCTCTCTCTCTCTCTCTCTCTCTCTCTCTCTCTCTCTCTCTCTCTCTCTCTC